AGTCTGGTTTTACTCTAGACTGGAGCGAATTGTCACACACCGCTGAAGTAGTTTTATCGAAATGTACGCCAATCATCAGCTTGGTTATTATGACATTGCTGGGCTCCAGTCTAGACTGGAGCGAATTGTCATACACTGCTGAAGTAGTTCTATCGAAATGTACAGCGATCATCAGCTTGGTTACTTTGACATTGCTAGGTTAAATATAAAGCATATGCACGCAAATTCTTTGCCAAGCGTCCACTTAGGACACGCACGCCATCATCCCATTTGGGGTGGTCATTTAAGCTTGCATCGACGTATTTTGATACATTTGTTAGGTTTATTGTCGACGTCATCTAAACAGCGTGTCAACTGAGTTGCTGTTTCAGAACCCCAGAAAGTATCTAATGAAATGGACTCTTTTGTATATGCCATCAGTGACATCATCCTCCACGGCCAGCTTTGCATTCGCGAGGTACGAACAGAGCTGTGGTCGTCGAAGTCTCCGTAAGATGAAGTAGAATGGTCGAGGCTTATCGCTGACGAGACGCTGCACGAAATGATAACGCCCGCAGCTGCCACTCTCCTGTATCCCCCATGACTGACAAGTATCCCCCATGCTGATCCAGCATGGAGGATACTTGTCTGCACAAGTTGACTCCCACACAAGGCGCTGAAAAAGCGGAAATTCCGCATCCCTCGACTTACTGTTCAGGTAAAGCTCTAACTAGAACAGTGGTTCTACAGCTGCTGCCCGCAGTTATACAACTGTAGTTCTGTAGCTGCCCGTGGCTCCCTGTTCCGGTGACGTGTAGCCCTCGTTTTCTATCCATATACCTGGGCTCGGTTCTACAGCTGCTACCCGCAGCTGTATAACTGTAGCTCTGTAGCTGCCCGTGGCTCCCTGTTCCGGTCACGTGTAGCCCTCGTTTTCTACCCGTGTATCTGGGCTCGGTATTCACACCTCTTGGCGCCTGCCCAGACCTGACGCTGGACCGAGCGTCGCCGACGTCACCGCCCATCCCGCCGCCTCGGTCGGTCACGCTGCGTCGGCGCCCGGTCTGCCGGTCAGGGGTGGCCGGTGGCGGCCGTCCTGCGGCGGCGGCGGCCCAGCTGACCTCTGCCCACTGACCGTCACCAGGTGAGCCGCTTCACTGGCGGCCCGAGATCAGTCCCACGTTCAGCGTCAGACCCCGAAACGGTCGCCTCGAGGGCACTCAAGCATACTGGGTTCTGGTGCGGTCTTCTTGGCCGTCTCGCGGCAGGGCAGGTTTTTGACGGCCGTAGCGACGCCAGTGACGAGGGAACTGGGGCGGTGAACTTGTCGAGGCGAGCCCCTTTCAGTCGTAAACGTGGGGGACTAAAGCTGCCGACAAGGAGGCTGGTGACGCGACTATCGCGCCCGTCACACCGCATCATCCATCCATGAACGGGCAAGTGCGTTGAGTCAGAAGCCGGGTCACGTGTCTGGCATGGCGGGGATCCGGACGGAGCTTTGATCGCTTGGCGCAGGTCAGAATTTTGTTGTATGGTCGCCATGGTGATAAACTGGGACGACCGTGATTTTAGGCACGATGATCTCTGTCGATGTAACTAGCGCGCTGAGGTCATGTATATGTCGCATTGTTAAGCACAAATCGAAGAAATCCTGGGCTAGTACAGTTATGGACGTGCGCTAGAGCACGCAGGCGTCTAGACGTTGATAAGTACCTGTTGAAATACATTCCGATCTGTCATTATCTTGTGTCCACAACCCCAGTAATAATGAGGTGAATCAAACGGGAAACGATATATACAGACGGAGGCAGACAAGAACTCGTTCTGAATCTAGGACGGCCAAGTTCATCGGCAATCTAACAGCGCGCCATGGCCTGCCAGTTCGGTAGGCGACGACAATCTCACACACCAATGTCCACGAAGTCGCGATTGGCCACGGCTCCAGGAATCCCAAAAACCAAGTTGTTTTCTGGCGAGCAAGGCAAAGGAAAGAATTGGAATTTCAAACCCAAGCAGTGTCAATAGCGTCCAAATGCCCTCGAGCTTGAATAACGTGCGTCGGATGTCCATTTCATCGGGTTTGTAAAAGGTGAAGCATGACACCGGGTGGTGACACGCCGGGACGGCGCCAATGCCATTGCGCGTGACAGTCGAGCCGCCCCCATCCCAGCCCGGGGGGCCCGGCAGCGGGCTGCTCGAGGTTCGCTGCCAGGATCCGGGCCCGCTACCGGGCTATGCGGTCCGCTGCCGGGCCTCTGGGGACCGCTGCCGGGCCTCTGGGGACCGCTGCCGGGCCTCTGGGGACCGCTGCCGGGCCTCTGGGGACCGCTGCCGGGCTCCGGGGCGCGCTGGCGGGGCTGACGCGGCCGGAGCCGGGCACGTCTCCCGGTGGGCCGCACCGGTCCGGCCGGAAGCCGCTGGACGCGGGGTGCGGGTCAGGTCGGCGCCGGAGTCGCCACTTCCGCAGACTGGGTTTTTGCCGGCAGTGATCGACGGGAAGGACCGGTCCAGTGACGCCGTGAGGTGCCGGTCGCCTGTTCCGCTCCTCTTCTTTGGGAGGTTCTTGCCAGGGCACATGGTGGTGCACGGCCATGAATGTCAGACGTCGGGCCGATGGGTACAGGCACCCAGTTTGTGTGTAGCCAATTCGCTGCACATGAGTACTGCACGACTCATCGGCGACCTTTGGGAAAAAGAACTCCACAGCTCCTTTGTGCAGTCCTTGACAACATATTGGCGAGCGCTCGGACATCGCGCACGCATCGTTCATGTTCTTTCCGACAGCCACCACCATTCGGCTCAGTTATTCGCCACGTGGCTGTGTAGCGATGCATCGCACGAAAGCGGGAAGCGGCAGTCTGTCGTCGCCCGCCTTTCATTCGCCCTCTGACGACAGCACACAGCTACAGGTCAGTCGCGGGCCGGCGCCGCGAACTCAGCTGGCGACCCTGGAATCGGTGCCCACCAGCAGCGGCGCACCTAATTTGGCCGTCAGAGTTGACGTGCGATCGGTCCGTGGGGTGCCCGGTCGGAAACGGAGGCCAGTAATGGGCCGGGGGCGTTGGCCTAGGTGGAGTGCGAGCCGGGGTGAGCTGGGCTCGGGGCAGGACGCGAGCCAGCCGCAGTGTAGCCAGACAGGTCTTCCGCGGGACCGAGGTGGTCCGCTGCGATCGGTGGTGCTCAATACACTCCGTCCGTGCCATTGGTTTGACCCGTGAGACTCAGCGCCGTCCCTGACGGCGGACGTAGCATGCCCCTGTACCCCTGATGCAGCTTGTTGTTTCCTTGTCCCCGAATGGCAAAGCTGCGACCACAAACCCGGTGTATGGCTGCGTTTCGTGTCACGCTTGCACCATGTCCGGCCTGGCTACGTCCCAGCACTGTCGAGACCATCTGTAAGTGTGTGGCATGGTGTGATCTGTCGTACCTGTGACACCCCTGACACTGTTGGCTGCCCGGCTGCCCCGGTCGCTGAGCATGGTCAGCACGTGCGGCCGCGCGGCAGCTCCTCTCCAGGTCATGTCGACATGCTCTCAGTAAAAACAACCATGCTTGCAGATTAACATTGGGGTGTGATGTTTCGCTAGCACGGGCGTATGCAGGAAATCGCGATGGGGGCACAACCAAACAACCGGAACAACCGGGAACCCAATGATGGTGCATCGCAGGCGCGTTACATTTATTGCATGGCGCGAGACGACACGTGTTTTAAATGCACTCATTTGGATGTTTCTACTGTGATTTTATTATTGCATGCAAACTTATCATAAGGTGACACGTGCTGGTCTCTGGCGCCCTCAGAACACAGCTAGCTCCTTGCCAACGTCTGTTCAGCAAGCCTGCAGGAGGCCGGATGAAAACGGCCTCTGGTACGAACCAGTCGACGCAGGCCATTCGCAGCCGGAGCTCACGGCCAATAATAATACCAACCCGTCCTTTACCAAGTTTTGTTCCGCAGCGTATTTGTGTGTCTCGTCCCGACTATTGGAACTATTCCAAAGCCATGGACAGTGCCATCGCAGTACGTCTCTGCCAAATTATCGGCAAGTCCCGCACGCACCACCGGTCACGACCCCGCCCCGCCCCGGTGCCCTTTCGTGGCGCGCACGTCACGAGCGGGCGCCGTACGCCACGCACGCGTCTACGCAATACAAGCGCGGCAGGAAGCCCGCAAATCCTTTCTCAAGAAACGGTTTAATAGCAGTCCGTTTGCAACGAAGCATTGATTGATAGGTACACTAGTAATGTAAAGTATGTTGTAGTGTTTCAGCCCGGACACACTCGCGGCTGTGACTCGCGGGGCGGAACGAGCCGCTGGCGTTACATCTGAAGGATCTTTGCCTGCCAGGCTTTGCCCACCAAGCTGAGATTTCTTGAGAGAGTCCCCTGGGTTGAAGTTCAAGTCAGTGCGAACTTTACGAAGAAGGCGGCAGGCTCAATATGAAGCGCGCACACTGCTGTCGATATGTTTTTGCAGCAAATATTCTAAATATGCAAACGTTCCATCCCATGTCTAGGTTTCATTGTTGCTCACAGCAGGCGCAGTTTGGAGGCAGTGGAAGAACAACGGCAACGTATATGGTAAGCGATAATCTGAACTGGGATAGTGCTCAGTTACTCCTTTTGCAGTTTAGACGGACCTACGTGCTCCACTAGACTATCACTTCACACCTTCAGTGTTCCATTCAAGTGACTTAAAACCGGACCGTTTTAATACATGGTGGCCTTGGGTCAGGTCTGAGGTTGCAGCGGACGCAAAACATGGCGGTGGTAGAGTTTCAGCCCCAGGCCCGCTAACGGCTCTGATCATCGCGACATCACATTAAAAGCTCTTAACACCCAAAATGCGATTCCAGAACGCGTTCCGGGAAAGTGACGTTACCTTGGGTCAGATTTAATCGCGACGGAGGCCAACAATCACATGTTTTGCTTACAGCCACCGAGCGCTCAGAGCCCAGCGCGTCTGTCGCCACAAAAGCGTGCGTGCCGTCCCCGGATAGGTAGCTTCCCACATCTTCTGTTCCATCACTGTCGACAACACTGGTAATGAGCATGTGATTTGTATGCTGACATCACAGTCACTGATGAAAACGCACATGAGACCAAATGAGCCATAAAAACAGCTTCACCATACGCGGCGGGCAATCCATCACGTTCAAAACGGTGCGGTCAGCATCGCTTTAGACAACATCGAGCCCGTTATCAAGAGGAGCTATCCATATGCAGCACCCCAATTTCAATAATGGGCGTGTGGATCGATCCATTCCAAGCAGTGCGAAGCCACCGACTCGAAGCAGCCCGCTGCCAACGGAAACGCCGCACAACACGGGCTGAACCAGCCGGGGTGATGCCCGGCCCGGAGAACCGCGCCGCGATGCTTGTAACGCAGCGCCAGCGCCGGCCCGGCGCGCTCCGATCACCGCCCGGCCCGCTGCGGCGCCGGTGACGTCACACGAGCTGCCCCGGGGCCAGCGGCCGCCTGAGCGTCGCGCAGTCCTGGTCACCAGGCGACCACCGCGGACGGCGTCATTACTGGACGGGGCGGACCGCCGACCGACCGCGCGGCCCGTCCCGGCCCAGCCCCGACGCCAGCGCCTCGGCCAGGCGTCACTCGATGATCCAGAGCATGTTGAGCCCGGTCGGACCGATGTGGATCTTGTCCAGCATCGAGTCGTGCTTGTGCCGCACTATGTACAGGAACAGCAGCAGCGTGTGGAACAGGTTGTTCCGCCCCTGCAACGCCGAAGGCGTCATCAGCAGCCGTCACGCCTCTGGCGTCTTCAGCGATAGGCTGGCCGCGGATGACTTCACACCACACTCCACTCTCCATTGGTGGGTCGGTTCGGTCCAAAACCTCGCACAACAAGGACGTCCTGACGGGAACGGGAAAAAGGTGACGACCATTGATAATTGCCGCGCCAAGAGAACTGGGCACGTTCGGTACTCCGCGCCCCGCCATTAACTGGCTCGCCTCAGTCAGGTCAACTCGCCGACTTCCCAAGGCCCCCCACCCCCACAACAACGGCAGCAACAGCGTGCAGACCTCACCTTGACCACCTGGTGCGTCTTCCCCAGGGCAGTAACAGCATGCAGACCTCACCTTGGCCAGCTGGTGCGTCTTCCCTAGGGCAGCAGCAGCATGAAGACCTCACCTTGGCCGCCTGGTGCGTCTTCCCCAGGGCAGCAGCAGCATGAAGACCTCACCTTGGCCGCCTGGTGCGTCTTCCCCAGGGCAGCAGCAGCATGAAGACCTCACCTTGGCCGCCTGGTGCGTCTTCCCCAGGGCAGCAGCAGCATGAAGACCTCACCTTGGCCGCCTGGTGCGTCTTCCACAGGGCAGCAGCAGCATGAAGACCTCACCTTGGCCAGCTGGTGCGTCTTCCCTAGGGCAGCAACAGCATGCAGACCTCACCTTGGCCAGCTGGTGCGTCTTCCCTAGGGCAGCAGCAGCATGCAGGCCTCACCCTGGCCACCTGATGCGTCTCCTCTAGGGCAGCAGCAGCATGCAGCAGACCTCACCTTGGCCAGCTGGTGCGTCTCCTGGCCGCTGACCAGTGAGAAGCGCGGCGGCGTGATCTCGGTCTGGTGAATGACGAGCCGGTGTCGGCCGGCCGCCGGCTCGTCCGGTGCCCGGCACACGTGCTCGTTTGTGAAGGTGCGCCCGTCAGGGTGCGACGGGTGCGGCGGCAGGCGGGCGTCCATGTAGGCCGCCAGCAGATGCATCACCAGCTGTCGGCCCCGGTCAGCAGCGGCGTGAGGGAGGAGGGCGTCACATGGGGGACACACGCGGTCACACGGGCGGCGACGGGGGCCACGTCGGGTAGCGCTGGCAGACGCGGAGGACGGTGTCAGGGTCTCACTGGCAGGAACGGGAACGGGGGGGGGGGGGCACGTGAGGCCGTGACACTGGCAGGAGAGGAGGCGTCGGAGCACGGCGACGCGCGTGGGGATCCCAGAGGCAGACACAGGGATACGCGACGTCCCGCTGGCGCACCTCCGAACCCGTCACGCGGCCCGTTCACATATGATCTTTACTGTGCCTCAAAACAAAAGCAGTCTTTAAATGGGCGCACTCGAGTCGGGTTGGAATACATCTGGCGTTACATGACCGCAACATCACATGCAGTGGAATTGCATTACACCCCGTCCGTATTTTCTCTCCGTTTTTACTGCATTGCGATTCGCTCCACTAAATAACTACGATCGTATACGGCTTAAGATGCATGGATCGGTGTTTGCAGCGCTTAGAGATCTAAATTTAAACACTCAAACATCTATCCGACCTCTCATCGTCTAAAATGTTTCATCCTGCACCCTCGCGACGTCCCGCTCGTCCAGGGCAGGCTGCATAGGCCGGCGACCAGTGGGCCGAGTGGGCCCCTGGAGGGGACCCCGGCCAGACGCCCAGTGCATACCCTGCGGGTGGGTCCCTGTGCGGGCTTAAGCTCGGCGGCCGGCCCCCAAGTGCACGCGGTCCTGCCCCACCGTCATCCAGTCCCCTTCATCCCATGGCTCTGAAATGATCTTGCCTGGTCGAAAGGGCTCCAATCCAAATATCCAACCTAGGAAAGCTCAAGTCAATCGTATGAGTGAAACCCTAGATGGATTCCGAAGCGGCGGGCGCGGCCGGAGGTGCACAGAGGGGCGCGCGGGCGCGGTCGGCCGGCGCCGTACCGCCGAGTCGGTGGGCAGGTGCTCCTCCCAGGCCTTGCCCCGGAGTGTGCCGCCGCCGTTCCAGCGGAACTCCTTCAGACAGCCGCCGCGGCTCAGCTCTGGAACAGGCGCAGACGCCGGCTCGTCACCGAGAGCTGCGCACCACGGCACAGCGATGGCTCACTGGTGCCTCAGAGGAATGGAACGCCACACATCCGAGGCACAGTGAGAGCTCGCTGGTGCCTCAGAGGGATGGAACACTACAGATCAGAGGCACAGCGACGGCTCGCTGGTGCCTCAGAGGGATGGAACGTCACACATCCGAGGCACAGCGACGGCTCGCTGGTACCTCAGAGGGATGGAACGCTACAGATCAGAGGCACAGCGATGGCTCGCTGGTGCCTCAGAGGGATGGAACGCCACACATCCGAGGCACAGCAGCGATGGCTCGCTGGTGCCCCAGAGGGATGGAATGCAGCAGATCTGAGGCCTTCAGAACACTTTTTATCTTTCTGAGCCCCCTCCCTCTTCCCCCTGGCAAACACCGAGTTCACAAAGCTTTATCTTTCTGAGTCCCCCTCCCCCCTCCCCTGGCAAACACCGAGTTCATAAACCTGTCAACGTGATGCATAGATGGACTGATGGCTTAGAAAAGCGAATATTGTGCTTTTGGCCTCAGATTTGATAACGTCCATCTGGTTTGCACCAAAACAGGTCGTCGACATAAGAAATGAGCAGAGTTAAGCGCTGGCCCCAGCTGTAATGCGACTTCCTGCATCCGGTATGCCAGAAGACCCCAACGTATCCCCCAGTTACTGTCTCTATCGTCTAATTCGGAAGACCCGGTGCGCCGCACACGCCCCGCTCAGTGACGACCCCCGGTACACCAAGTGCGTGGCGCCACCATGCACCTCACACCTTGACCAGGACGTACCTCGTATGCGAAACACTACGTACTCCTGGTGCGTGGAGACGGAGAGAAAATGGAGGACGGCGTTGAGCGTGGGCACGTCCCGCACCAGCTGGGACGTCTTCCTCAGCTTATCCAGCCCCACCTCGCCTGTCGACAGAGGCACCACTGAGCAGGTCAGCACAGGCATGGTCAGAGCTGGCATGGTCAGAGCTGGCATGGTCAGAGCTGGCATGGTCAGAGCTGGGATGGTCAGAATTGGGATGGTCAGAGCTAGGATGGTCAGAGCTGAGATGGTCGGAGCTGAGATGGTCGGAGCTGAGATGGTCAGAGCTGGCATGTTCAGAGCTGGGGTGGTCAGAGCTGGTATGGTCAGAGCTGAGATAGTCAGAGCTGGCATGGTCAGAGCTGGCATGGTCAGAGCTGGGATGGTCAGAATTGGGATGGTCAGAGCTAGGATGGTCAGAGCTGAGATGGTCGGAGCTGAGATGGTCGGAGCTGAGATGGTCGGAGCTGAGATGGTCAGAGCTGAATGGCCAGAGCTGAGATGGTCAGAGCTGAGATGGTCTGAGCGGGGAAGGTCAGAGCTGAGAAGGTCAGAGCTGAGATGGTCAGAGCTGAGATGGCCGGAGCTGGGATGGTCAGAGCTGAGATGATCAGAGCTGAGATGGTCAGAGCTGAAGTGGTCAGAGCTGGCATGGTCAGAGCTGAAATGGTCAGACCTGAGATGATCAGAGCTGAGATAGTCAGAGCTGGGATGGGGTGGTCAGTAATACAGCAATTCGAACTGGCGTGACCAGTACTAGGGCGGTCAGAAATGGGGGCAGCATCCCCAACACAGCATTGCAAATAATACCGTGTTTGTGACAGCTTATACAAACACTGTGTCATCGACATCTACAACGTCGAGCCCCTTGTTGACCAAATGATCTCGACTTCGCGCCCGATATGGACACGGTGCACCGCGCAGCGCACGGGCGACGCGAGATCACACCGAGCTGCCCGTGTGTACCAGAGAGAGTAAGGACCAGGGAAGGCCTCCCGCGTGCGCCATGAGGCGTCCACTCATCGATCTGCGCCTCCGGGAGGCCGTGCGTACCAAGGAGGGTGGGTGCTAGAGGAGGCTCCCGCGTGCGCGGCGGAGCGTCCACTCACCGATCCGCACCTCGGAGAGGCCGTGTGTACCGGAGAGGGCGGATGCCAGGACATGCTCCCGCGTGCGCGGCGGGGTGTCCACTCACCGATCTGCACCTCCGAGAGGCCGTGTGTACCGGAGAGGAAAGATGCCAGGATAGGCTCCCGCTTGCGCCACGGAGCGTCCACTCACCGATCTGCATCTCCGAGAGACCGTGTCTCCTCAGCGCGGCGTTCACCGAGTCGATCTCTTTCACGAGCCGCACCAGGATGGTCTGGCAGAGCCACTGGAACAGCGCCAGGCAGCGCGTGACCGTCAGCACGGTGACGTCACACTGGAGCTGCTCCTCACACGCCGCATGGGTCGGCGATCACACGCGGCACGCGCGGACGCGCCGGCCCAGTGCGTGGCCGGTGTCACGAGCATACATCCCTGGCGTGCGACCAGGCTACCAAAAATCGCTTATCAAGGCAAAAGGCGTCTCTGCTGGGGCAACGCCATGGTTCTCATTTGACCTTATCACGACGAATGCCGCGCCGCGGTCGTCGCCAGCGCCGCTCTGGGCGCCGTCACTCGCACCGCGTGCGAGACGTCACCGAACGGCTGGCGGCCGGCCGGGCACTCACCACGCGCACGTTCTCCGTCCAGCGGAAGAGCGTGTCGCGGCTGACGTCGAGGCGCGCCCAGGTGCGGTCCAGTGACGAGTGCAGTGCGCTCTCCGCCTTCTCGTCGGCGGCCGAGCCGTCGTCCGTCTCCGGCGGGTCGCGCACAGACAGCTGGCGGGCGAGGGGTGCGTCAGGTGGCGGCGCGCACCGCGACTCGCCGGAGCACGGCTGACAGCGGTCAAAGGGTGCACGCTCGAGAAGCGAGGCGCAAGGTCGTGACGATCACATGCACAGCGCGGAGTAAACCAGCGGTCCTGGAAACAGACTGACAGAGCGTGCCAATGTCAGGTGATGCCCACATAACGCTGATGGTGTCCAGGGAGATCGCAATATCACACTGGAGAGATCGTTAACACTGACATCCGAAACTAGTACCATTTAATCGATATCAGTGAATACTGAAGGTCAGACATTAGCCCTATGGAGCATGATTGTTGACCACGTTGCCCGGATTGGGGGTGACTGACGACATCCCAGCCTCGCATGCCAGTTGCCCAACGCTTACGAGTAACATCGCCACTTCGCCGTCACTACGCCGCCGGGCCGGCTCTCCACAAGACTTCAGCACGCGCGCCCGGCAGCGCACAGGTAGCTCCGCCGACCTTTCGTCGTCAAATAACGCCACGGCCGGTGCCACGCCACTGACCTGGTACACGTGTTTCTGCGGTGAGTGCGTGAACAAGTCCGCCAGAGAGGAATTGCTGTGATTCCAGAAGCTCTGGCTCTGATTGGCTGACGCTTCCATCGACGCGTTCACTGAAAACAGCAGAGGTTGAAGTCTTGAAGGCTACAACATCCCCTGAACCCCCGTCATCAGACGTCAAGACATGCAATCGGTCCATAAACGCCCTGACACGCAGCACTTTTCGCATTCACACGATCTCACTTTGGTTGCTTGAAGTGTGCCGACCCCAAGGTGTCAACAACACCCATCGCATTTCAACGCGCCGGACGGTGAGCATCACGCAAGACGCACACCGGACAAGCGCGACTGACGAGGCCGACGCCGATCACACCAGTGCGCACCCCCGGCACCGTCCGCCCACATCAGCCGATCGACTGCGAGCCGGGGCGCACGGGAGGGGGAGGGGACGGCACTCACGTGCGTTGCGTCGTCGCTCCGCCTCCTCGTATTGCGCCATGTACTGTCGGAAGCTGTCCTTGTCGGTGATCTCGATGGCCGGCCGGTTGACGGGCGTGCTGATACGGGGCCGGCCGACCGACGGCGGCGCCAGCGGCGATCGCTGCCGACACACGGGTCAGGGGTGAAACACAGGTCAGACACCGGCGACACATAGGTCAGAGGTCAGACAGAGGTCAGACGCTGCCGGGAAAGGGGTCAGAGGTCAGACACCGGAGACACATGACCACACGCGGGTCAGAAGTCAGACGCAGGTCAGACACCGGCGACACAGGGCGACACGTGGATCGGGGGTCAGACGGAGGTCAGACACTGCCGACACAGGGGTCAGAGGTCACGCACAGATCAGACGCCGACGCCATGCGGGTCAGAGGTCAGACGCTGCCGACACAACGCACACGGCCAGAGGTCCACACGTGCCATATGCCGGGGGCCACTACGCCCAGTAAGCATAGGACAGCCACATCAACATGCACGTGCTTCGGTTTGCACCAGCTACAACCGCTTCAACGCTGCGAAGTCAAAAACAGGAAGCGTGGCAAGATCAACTGGCAAACACACATCGGTTGCAACCGTCAGTAAATCTATATTTGCACGTGTAAATCTATATAGATTTTTTACGCCACTGCACCGAATCGAATTTTGCACGAATCCCAACAATTGCGCATTGCACAGAAAATATACTGAAATGACAGAACAATGAAGATGTTCTATTTTTCCGCACATATCGTCAGCACATCTTGTGATGGTGTAATTTTATGACTACACCCCGTCGCAAGACTGCTGTCGTTAGATCACATTGAAAACAGTATCCTAGCTGAAGATTACTTTGTGTGGACACTGACTCGTGCAACCGACTGGTCCAGACTGTGAGATGGTTATAGCATTACGTATTAGCCAAAAATACCACAAATATTTAAAGCATATGTAAGCCCTAGTCCCAGGATGCCAGCCTGTGAAGAACGCATGTCCTCACTGTCGAGAATATGCGATGCATTTGGTGGTTATAACACCCACGTCACGTGAATCATTTGCCTCGACCTCCTCATGTCTGTCAGTCTCGCTGTAAGGCATGTCACACGCGCCCAGCGCTATACCTAGCCATATCATACCGCCATAGCGGCGATATGTAGTGCAGCGTTGAATTCACAAACCACAATAGAGCGCCACGCTTGCGGGTTGACGCTGAGGTGAGACCTCACGGAAGAATACCGCAGCAATGTGCCCGGCTGCCTGAGACAAGCATGCCAAACTACCTGGGCGTACGGCGAGCCGCGCTGACCGTAGGGCGAGCCTAGCTGACCGTAGGGCGAGCTCTGTTGGCCGTAGGGCGAGCCTGGCTGACCGTAGGGCGAGCTCTGTTGGCCGTAGGGCGAGCCTGGCTGACCGAAGGGCGGGCCTGGCTGACTGTAGGGTGAGCTTTGTTGGCCGTAGGGCGAGCTCTGTTGGCCGTAAGGCGAGCCCTGTTGACCGTAGGGCGAGCCCTGTTGACCGTAGGGCGAGCCCTGTTGACCGTAGGGCGATCCCTGTTGACCGTAGGGCGAGCCGTGCTGGCCGTAAGGCGAGCCGTGCGTGGTCCAGCCGGCGCTGGCCGAGCCGTCCTGGTAGCCCCAGGAGGAGACGGAGGCGGAGAGGGCGCGGCTGCCGCCCACCTGGTCCGACCGGTCCAGCCAGCTCAGCGCCGAGAGGTCCATGGGCGTGGCGGGCGAGCCGCCGGCGCCGGTCGCGCTCCGGTCCGGCCGGGGCCGGCTGCCGATGGCCGGGTCTGGCCGCACCACCGAGCACGGACGCGCGTCAGAGGGTGCAGCGCCAGGCGGCGAGAGCGCTGGCGACGCTCAAAACGACGGGCCCGCTCCCAGTCGGCGACAGAGCATCCCGGTCAAGGCCAAGAGCCCAGCCCCATCACGATGGCTTTGAAGGAGAAAGACGCCACTTGTGCAATAGAATTAGCTTTGAAATTCTTGGCTCAAGTCAGCGAGCCATTTGGACCTGTAGATGACATTTGCATGCAACTGCCCAACAATGCGTGATGCTGTTACTTGCATGTGTTTTATCCATTTCAAAGTTACCCAGGTGGTCACGTCTGGGACACCCTGGTCAGAGTTGACAAGATACCAAAAACTGCATCCACTCGCGGCGCATAAACAACAGCGTGAACGAGGAGCGGCGGGCTATGCACTGCCGTCCAAAACCAAAAGGGCCTCAGTGCCATCAGGTAAATAGTTAAGAAACATTTCACGTTTAGGCAATTAAGCATCCTCTTGGCACACACAAATTTCATCCAAATTTTGAACTTAAAGGATACGTTTCACACTTATAGATATTGAAGCAAGCATCAGATATGATCAAATGTGCTGACTAATAACTATTGGCAAACTTTTTGATTGGAAAAGACCGCTCTAGACAGCACAAATCTCTGCATAGTAAATATGCTTCTCAATGCGTTATGGTTTGATTCCGTAATCGTTCCTTGCACATTGCACTGATTGAGAACCAATTGGCGGCCACTTTATTTGAGACAGCGCTCACGAACGCCAGATGTGAACGCCTCGACAATCATATTTTTCTTGGCCTTGATCGCCGCATGGCTTATGGAATGGCAGGGTTTGAATGTTGTTATTATGATGTCATGAATGCCAAGTTGACTTTGAAATATTCCCCACAATATGTTTTTTTTCTCTTTTCACGGGCGTGTACCTCAGAAACTAGAGGCGCTACCATCTTAAGAAGGGCAGGATTGTGAGCAGCACCGAAAGGCATTCAAGATGGCTATTTCAGTTCAAAGCCCTATATGAATGTGAAGCCCCCCCCCCCCCCCCTTAAGACCACATGGCATTACATTACAGCTTTTCGAGATGCATCGAATAAGATAACAGCATTTCCAAAAAATGGTGCAAAGCCCTTTCATCTGGATGGCAGTGTAACCACACCCAGAGCATTTAAGTGTATCTATGCCCTTGATTTCAGTATGGGAGAAGGCAAGCCTAGGAATCACAGGAACTTGGTCGAGCACCACGGCGAGCGACGTCGCAGACGCCGGCCCGCACCGACCCGCTCCCCTCCCCCCCGTCACCCTGCGGACCGCCTCCACCGGCGGGACGCGCGGCCGAGACGGACGCTCCAGCCCTCACCGTGCCGCCCCACGCTGAGCAGGCGCTTCTGCTCGTCCGTCAGGCTCAAGACGGTGCAGCCCAGGCCCGGGTACAGGTAGCGGGTCATGTGGACGGCCAGGTTAAGGCAGCTGATGACGAGGACGCCCAGCTCCAGCCGCCAGAGCAGCAGCAGTGGCACGCCCAGCAGCTCGGAGGCCAGGTACGAGCCGTAGTACCTGTGTCAGGGGCACGCTGTCAGATGGGACACACATACAGCAGCTTGGAGGCCAGGTAGGCGCCGTAGTACCTGTCTCACCTGTCTTGGGAGCGAACTGTCAGATGGGACACACATGCAGCAGCTTGGGGGCCAGGTACGAGCTGAACCTGGCCCCCATCTCAGGTCTAATGGGGAGCTTTACCATGGTAACACGTGGCAACACAGAATAAGGCCAGCAGCATTGCAAAACATGCAGGCAGGGGTAGCATGGGCAGATAAGTCAAGCAGACACTAAGTGTTATGTCAGCAGATATAAACAAACTTCGCTGCACAACCTCGTAGACCTGTTGCCCACAATATAATCGGGCAAGTGATTGCAAACAGAAAACCCTCTGTGCACAATTACAGCTGGTAGGTACCCCAATATCTAAATGATAGATGCCTTGATGCTTGACAAATGGATGTCCCAATAATTAACCTGAACACCTAAAAACCATGAAACAATAAACATTGGGGTTCCATGCACCTTCACAGGCACTCTAGAGCAGTGCCCATGGTTTGCCTTAAAGATAGACACACTAGTGGCCCAAACATATGCAAACACTGGCAGATCACAAAATAATATATATTTACATATGCATGCCACTTTTGCTCAATTGCATGCACCATTACTTACATCTACTTTTATACTTACATTTCTAATGTGATGAAGAGTGACAAGAACAGGTTAATCATAATCCAAAAGGCTGACTGTCGTGAAACAGCACCTAAGTTCTTGCGCAGCAGCACCTCTGACACAAACTGATTGACTGCCATCTTGTGTTTTCAGTCCTGCAAGGCCGAAGAAACATAAAAGAACCAGACCACATCACCAGCATGCTAGCATGGGAGATCACTGAGCATGTGCATGCGACATGTGAGTGCTTTGAGCCCTCCTTCCATTCAGAAATTAACATATCAGGTGTTTCATGCATGGTAGCACAAAGATGCCAGCAACTCCAAGCAGCATTTGTCAGAATGTCCATCAAATCACAAATTTCCCATGCTCTTTTATAATGGGTGTACAATCTGCATATTGAGAGGTGGGAGGCTTGGCTTTGTTTGGACTTAATAGGTGACCATAACTGGATGCCAATAACTGGAAGTATTACCTGCTCCTGGTTTAAGTAGCATGATGTGATTTAGTAGTTTGGTGGTCAGAGTCCAGAGATAAATACCTTAATCAGCCATGGGCCAGATATCCACTATCTTAAAATCCACACATTTGTCTGACGTAGCATTGCAATTTGAAATTTTTCAACTAAATTAAGGTACAGGAGGGGCACAGAGGCTTCACCTGTAACATGCACTGATTTCCTCATTATTAGGCTGCACCTACATCCAGCTGTGTTGTTAATCTGGTTGTGTTGGTTTATGACAAGGGACTGCTAGATGAAACAAGAATCTCATGCACCACATTAACACATGCTCAGGCATGGGTTCACATTTGCTTATTGGATGTTTCCAAACCATCATTGGGCACTTCAGTTTATGCTTCCAGTCCACAAATTATATGCAGCTGATTTGACAACCAATCAATGAACAGCTTTATTTTTGCTGTTTTTCATTGATGGGTCCATAGTTTTAGCCAATATATAAACAATGATGCTCAATCGCAATGCCATCATCAGTAACGCTCATGACATTTTCACATGGCAGAATAAGGCACACACCTCCACTGTTTATTTCCATGGTGGGAAGTAGCTACTGGTGTAGGTGTACTTTCCCACCTAACACTAGAAAAAATAATTGCACACCATTCGTCTGTTTAAGGCGCACATCAAATAATCTGTGCAAATAATCTGTCCCGTTGGCGTCAAGGATCAAATTTAATGGATTCTTGTTACCTTGGCCGGGTACATTTTATGGTTCTTGATGCTGCTCGATGGGCAGTAATGGCGCCGGTGTCGCGGGTGCTGTGTGTGTGCGACGCTCGGGAGCTCGCGATCGTAATTATAAAAAAATGAAGGCAAGATCATGAATCTACCTGTTTTGTGATTATTTACGATATGTCCTGCCTTAAACACGACGAATGGTTTAATTTGGTTCCGTACATTTTGTAGAGTTCTTGGTAAGCAGAAATATTGTATTTACACAACAGCAACGCAGAAACGGCGCTAGGGAGTCCAGGCGGTGCGGTGCGTGCGGCGCTCAGGGGCCCACCATCGAAGTTATTCAAATTCGAAGGAAGAAGCATGATTCTACCTGTTTTGAGATTATTTACAATATGTCCTGCCTTAAACACGACGAATGGTGTACAATGATTTTTTCTAACGTTAGGTAGGAAAGTACACCCTGACCTTCTACACTCCTCTCATAACCTGGTACAAAATAGGAAGCTGCCACAAGGACTCCTCACTTATTTCATCCATGCTACCCATTTCACGATGGAAAAATAAAAACGGTATCTCTCCAAGGTACAATAATTACCTTCTTGACCCCACGAAGTAAGGTCACTGGTTTACTACGCCAGCCACGCAAATATCAAGCCGTCATGCTGATCTTTGTTTCAAGTTGAAAACCTAATGTGACTCAAACGATGGCAGGAAGAGTTCCTGAAATGTGCGTACTGTCCTTTGAGTTAGTTGAGTGCAATGTCTGCGTTGAGTACATTAAGCTAGCTTAGTGTGGCGTACTCCAAACTCAGCACGACCCCCCACCCACCCGCACCACACCGGCCGAGAGCGCGTCCGCCAATCTAGTAGCACGCCAAAACCTCCAAATATGAATTGCCCGTCTCTTATGCGTCACATTCGGTGCCATGCAGAAGGTGTACAGCTCGAGAACATTTTTTAGTGGCTTCAACCTACGTTATTCGCCAAAAGAGGAACGCGGGGCTCCCTAACTAATTCCGCACAAAAACCGGCTCATCCTAAATGAGTCACACGTGCAATTTTGTTTTGATTGGCTAGGCAATACGGAAAATATGATCAACAAGGTCCGTCACTCAAGATCACAATTAATTGCATATGTGTGGGAAAAAACCGGTGAGTAAAAGCTTGGTTACGTTGGGTGCTGTCATCCTTTCCCGGCATTATTCGTACGTACCACGGAGCTGAATGGAGAATCAGATCCCGTGAGATCTTTGTACCCAATGGCGATTTAATCACGCAGTCCAGGGCAAGATCGCTTAAGGCAGGATCATCGTCGCTAGCAGCGTTTGGAGGGTGTGGGGAAGGCGGTGTGTTAACAAGTCGTGACATAGCGACGTTCCCGAGTGAGAGCAGCGCATCCAACCAATACGTGTTCAACCGTAAGCCGAACATTACAAGCCTCGCAGACCGGTGGTGCAAAACGACTGAAAAGATGACTGTGGGTGAGACGAGTGTGGCCACATCTCAAGCGCACCAACACTACTTCTCTCTGCCTGTTCTCCTGGTGACACGTGGCCCATGGTTGGAATGTGGGTTTGATTCGATGCATATGGTTAGCATGTGAGACATCCTACTGATTCTGAAAATACCAAGCGAAACAGATTTTAGTAAAATGAAGAACATCACTTAGTGTCAGACACACTTCCAGAGGCGTTGGAAGACGAACACTTTCGTTCGTAAGGGTGTCGGCGAGGACATTACCTACGATGCCACAATGTCCCGGTATCCGCAGAAAGGTCACGTGTTGGTCTGTTGGCAGCGAAAGCATTATATCATGGACATCATGCACTCCCGGGTGGTTGAAATCATCGAGTCGCTGAAGGGCCTGCAGCGATGCCTTGAAGTCTGTGCATATGGTAGCCTGAGGAATACATCTGACTCTGATATGCAACAGCACTCATTTTATAGCGTATACCTACGCAGAGAACACCGTACTGAAGTCTGGAAGACGTCCGGTGAATCGAAAGTCAGGACCGACGGCTGCTGCACCAACCCGGTCACCATGAGCAGATCCACCGGTGTAAAAGAAAATGGATTCGACGTGCATATTTCGGTACTCCAGGAATGCAGACCGTACCTCAGCAGCAGACAATTCCGATTTGGTGGATCTAAATAGATACTCTATTGAGAGAGCATTGTAAAGATAGAAAGGCGTCAATAGAGGGTTACGAGCAACACGAATGCATGGGATGTCAAGAGCTCGTCGCGCCTGTCTGACAGCGTCGGGCAGGACACACGACCTCTGCTCCTGTCTTTGTTGGTGCGGTCTATTGGTTTCAAGAGCAGCGCATAACTCGACGTTCATCCCACTTTGCGATTTGTGGAGCAGCAAGAAGCAACGCCACTCTGTTAGCGCTGGCAGGTTGGCGTCAGCACGGATGGCGAGGCCTGGGGTCGTGCGGAAGGCCCCGTGATCAGACGCAGGCAGGTTGATTGAATGGCTCCCAAGCGTTTGCAAAGGTTGGCGGAGATAGTACTGAATATGAAGCTGTTATATCCCAACGTTGATCGGACGAGACCGATATAAAGTGTGATGAGCGTCGCACGGTCTGCACGCCAGGCATGACCAGCAAGGCACCTGAGGACGTTAAGCCATTTTAAGCAACGATTTATGACACCTGTGTGAGCTTGGAAGGTTAGACGTGAGTCCAATGTAATTCCCAGAAATAGTATGGGAGTTGGGAGTAGAATGGTATGGGGCAGAATGGTATGGGGCAGAATGGTATGGGGCAGAATGGTATGGGAGTACCACAAATTTGTGGAGAGACGGCAAGTGACGGTAAGGGACCTCGCATGAAAACGAGCGTGGCGTGGAGAGTAGAGAGAAAGAAGCCCCATTCTGAGCACCAGTTCACACAATGATCGATTGCTATTTGCAAAGCTGAGAAAGACTCTTGACAGTCTCTGTGTGAGCTCCATATAGTAAGATCGCCAGCAAACATCGAATATCGGGCACATCCTAGGGTGTTCGGCTGTGTAAGAAAAACATCATTGATGGCGATAAAAGACAGCGTTGGAGACAGAACACCACCTTGTGGAACACCATGATCCATACGATGTAAGTCAGATGCCGTGGATTAGCAGCATACACTGAAGAAATGACTGCAAGAAATTGCAAAGAAAATACGCTAAGTGGCCCCTGAGGCCAAGAGCATACAACTTGCAGATCACGGTGTCGCGATGGACTTTGTTAAATGCTGACGTGAGGCCACGAAACACAGCGACGGTTAGATGTTGTCTATCCCAGTTGGCATGTATATCTGTAGTGAGACGTATAATGTTTTCTGCTGTACCATGCTTACCTCCGAATTAACTTTGGAAGGCGTCTAACAGCTGATTTGTTTCCAGGAACCATCGCAGGCGTGCACTGACCATTCGTTACACGACCTTGCAGGCACAGTTTGTGAGCGATATTGGACGATTTGAGTCCGAGGACAGCCTTTCTTTGCCGGGCTTCAGGATTGGGGTGACCATGCTTTGGAGCCATGCGTCTGGGGAAGTGTGATTGATCCAGAGATTGTTGATGGCGACTGGAAGTGTTGATAAGTCTAAAGTAGATAGCTTGGTGAAAAACGAGTAAGGTAGTTCATCTGGGCTAACCGAAACTTTCTCCGGGACAATTCGAGTTCACGCATGGTAAGAGGAGCATTATAGGCTTCATCGTGATCAGACGTAAACTCGGGGTTGGAAGTTCTTTTAGTTAAACATGGGTTAACGCTGGGTGAGTAGATATTTGGGGGGGGGGGCAGAGGCAAAGCGTTGCGCAAATGTGTTGGCGACCTCATGTGGATCGGTTACAATGTCGTTTCCTCTCGCAAGCTGTGGGAAGGCACATACGTGATTTCGGCGAGAGGCAAACGAGCGGACATGCTCCAAAAATTTACTTAACGGCGTAAAGCGCTTGCACGTCGAAGCAAAATCCCGCCACGCCGATTGATTTTCTCGACGCGAGGTGTCAGAACACGCTTTGCGCGCTTTTGTATAAAATTCCGCATGATGGGCGCCAATGCATTCTTGAAAATCTCTAGGTGCCCTGCGTCGAAGTGCATTTGCCCATTGACAACGCCAGTTCCACCATGAAGCGTTTCCAGTCCGATCAGGTCTGGAACCTCCTGAAATGTTTCGGCTGATAACATTTGGCGGCTGAGTGGACGGCATTGGAGAAATCTAGTACGGTTGTTTTGAAATCGTATGGAACATGCCGGGTGACAGCTATTAAAGGATTCCCAGTCAACACCATTTGTACACCATTTCTTTGTGGAAGGCGGAGGCAGGAGTGCAGTCGCACGCGTAAGAATAAGATGGAGAGGAAAGTGGTCAGAAAATAACAGGCCACTAGTTACAATCCACTGGAATAAGAGAGCGACACGGTGTGACACAATGGACAAGTCTATGGCTGAGGTGGTGTGGTAACTGAAACTCCTAAGCATGTGCGTGCCACCATTGGGGTATACCAGCGAATGTTTGTTGACCACGGTTTTCACCTGGGATCCCCGTGGAGACAAATGTTGGCTTCGGGCCCAGAGCGGATTGTGGGCGCTAAAATCACTAAGCATCAGGCAATTGGCAGGCATTTGTGAGAACAAATAATCAGGAGTGGATTGTGTAATGAGCCGAGAGTTGGGAGGTAAGAATGCAGACAATATCAACACATATTGGAAAAGTTTCACAGTAACCGCCACGAAGTTCAGCTGGGTTTGAAGAAAAGTGTGTCGCTGGAGAACCGAATTTCATGCATAAACCGCCACGCCACCCTGACGCGCTTCAGAATTTATGCTATTCTGCTAGAGAGTTTATCCGGGAACCTTAAAGTTGTACGAATCTGAGTCACGGAAAAGGCTTCTTGTAGTGCAGCGACCAGGGGAGAAAATTAATTCATATGTTGTTCAAATTCGGCACAATGCTACAAAAGATCTTCAACATTTCATTGAAGTAGGAACGCCATTTCTTTACGTGACATGACGCGGGTCTGGTTAGGCAGGAGAGGAGGACCCTGGAATAAACGCACGTCTTGTGTGTGTGGGCTGCGTACGATACCCCCGGTTCTTGCCCTCATAGGCTGATGCACTACGTAAGCGGAAGCTTCGTCGCTGTGTAGGAAGCGTGGTGGGGGGGGGGGGGGGGAAGTCAGGGTCCGTTTCCGGGGATGGCGCCCGTGGAGACCTGACGGCCCGGGCAAAAGGAGGGACTTCACTTTGTCGTGTGAGCACACTGGGATGGAGTCATCCGAGTCAACCTCAGACACCGCCTGGCTGCGGTGGTCTGCTGATACTGGTGACCCAGCCTCATCTCGGATCATGATATCAGTGTCAGTGGGCTCTTGGCACGCAGCCAGGGTAACCTCTGCCACCGCGGAGGTTGTCGGGAGTGGACTCCTTGTACCCTCCAGACCACTATTATCCCTGTAATCGCTGTTGCCTGAGATGAAGCCTGACTGACGGCGTTTGCGTCGTCTACGCTCGGTGAAGGCGTTTCGCTCGGGTCAGCTCGGGCGGCGGTTGACTTGTGGATGTAGGTGGTGACGGGGTTTTCAGCAGGTCACTTTTGGCGCTGGTGGTCTGTGACGCTCTGGGCAGCGGCTTACTGCCCGTCGTGCGTGGCGGCGGCGGCCCCCATGTACCGTTCCCAGCCACGGATAGCGTCCCTGGCGGGGGTGGCTGCTGACGGTTTGTACGAGGGGTGAGTGGGTTCCTGGTGGGTCACACGCAGCTCGCCGCGCTGGGAGTGCCGGCACTCCTCCAGCCCAAACCCAGGAGGGGTCACCCGGGCGCTGCGGCTCGCAGCGTCTCAAGTTTCTCCTTCCAGACCGGGCACGCAAGATCGGTCACCGGGTACGGGCCCTGACATGTCGCACAGCGTGGAGGGGGGGGGGAGGGGGCATCGCTCGGAAGGGTGCTCCCCGGCACAGCGTGCACATCTCTGCGAGCGAGCCCCGCGCATGCCCTTGACATGCCCACATCGTAGGCACTGACTACAGCGGCGGGGCAGCGGGGTGTACCGGCGGACCTCATGCCGCGTGTAGGCTGCGTGCAGATGCGCGGGGAGTTGCAGCCGTCCGAAACGGACCATTAGCGGGGGGTTGGGGCGCGCAGTTCTCGACGGGGAACGGGTCACTGCCGCTACTCCCTGCGGCGCACTCTCCTCCAGGATTTTCCTCGCAGAGTCCCCCGCCATGCCCGGTGCGTAGACTACCCCCTTCCACCTGGTTTAATTTGTCTGCTGGGGTGACTCACACCTCTCAGCCCCCGAAAGATGGTCGTGCCAAGAGGGATCGAGTTTGACCGACATCAATGGTTTTCAGGAGGGCGCCGCTCCTCACTGCCGCGGCCTGAGCTACACTCCCTTCCAGAAGATCGTGAATTCGTCTCGAATCTTGTAGGGGCTGACGTTCCTGAAGGACTCGGTGGTATAAGAAAATCTTACCAGGAGGAACGCCGTCCCCGTCGGGATCCAACTACATTCCGCTGTCGCAGAAGATGCGTTGTCCTTGGTCGACACCGTGAATCCGCCCACTCCGTCGTTGCCTTGGGCTACGGAGTAACACCCACGAAGGAACGCAACGGACGAAAGTGCCGGCATACGAAAAACAGTCACGTAGAATACGAAAAGCACATGAAACTTGCATCTAAGGAACTATCACGCGGCAGAAACAAAGGTGTCACAGCTCTGAAAGGCACTCCAACACCACATGTTCTAGAAGCGGAGATAACAGGATGAAAACGAAGCGGCGAGTAATGCACATTCTTACGCTACCAGATCGCAATGGAGAGACTTGAAAGCAATATTACTTCGCCGCCATCCATGCAGCGAAGTCCATGCTTCGAAACCTCCCTACTGATTTTCTCCAAATCCACCGATCGAAAACGAGTCTGCGCTTTTTGGTGGTCGCTCTGAAACTGACGATCTCAGGTCACCATCTTTCTATTTTTCCACCATTTCCACCATTTGCTTTCAAAAACCGCATAAATCACCCTGGCGCACTACAAACAAGTCCGAACTCTAAACCGCTCAACTGATCTGTCCCGAACCTTTACCAACAGACACCACATACGATTTCATCAGCTGCTCTGAAATCGGTGACCGCAGGTCATCATCATTACCTTCCATGACCGTATAAACCATTCTGGAGCATTGCGGTCAAGTCCAAACTCGAAAACCGCTCGAATAATCTTCCTAGGACCTTTGGCAACCGATGGAGCATATGCGATTTCATCTATAATTCGAAAACTGGTGACCCCAGGTCACAATCTTTACCTTCATCTACCGTACAAACCACTCCGCACGTCCCAGCCAAGTCCAAACTTGAAAACCGCTCACTGGATTTTTCCGGGACTTTCACCAGAAGATAGAACGCAAAGATCTTTATCAGTCGTTCTGAAACTGGTGTCTGGTGAAACTGGGCAGGTGGGTTGAGATGTTTCTAAGTTTGGGCTTCACCGCAATGTCTCCGTGGCCTTTACAGTTCTTAAAGGTGTGGATGGTGGCCTCAGGCATCCTGTTTCAGATCGGACACGAAACCACATGATGGCTTTCGATTGGGTTTGGTCTGGAGAAAATCCGTCCAGCGGTTTCGGAGTTTGAACATGGCTGCATGGAATACAGTGAAGAAGTGTTGTCCGCGGTTGAAAGATGCAACGTTAAGTATCACGTCCATGACGTCACGATAATAAATATTCAGCACCCGCAATCACGGACGGTGATTGATAGAGGTAGGGGGTTATATCCCCGCAAAATGAACTTGAATCATGGTTGTGCAATACAAATACTAGGCAAGCATCGCGTTCCTGCCACTCCCGTGTGGTCTTTCGGAGCAGCCCACTGTGCGGAGCATGGACAAGGCCTCATATACGGCATAGCACGTGCTTCAGAACCATTTCGCAGCTTGAACGGGGAACGAGGGATCATGTTCTGCACTTATCGTAAAACATTAACATCAAGAGTATCGTGTTGCATGAAAGTAATTGACCCCAACTCATCACATCTGCAACCTCGAGAACCCAATGAATCACACGCGTGGTCTTTCTCACGTCCGAAACCACACAACTCAGACGTGGTGACAGGGAGTTGAGGCGACCAACTACCGAGCCAACATAGGCTTGGAAGGGCTGACAAAAAGGTCTGGAAGTTCCTTAGCGCGGGGAAACAGCGTGAAGCCCAGCCACCTGCCGCTTGCGGACATTGCTGAGACCATGGTTGGCTGATCACGCGCTGCAAACGAATGGAGAATCGTGCGCGTAGAGCTTCACCACTAGGCATGTCCACTCACCTACCTCTGAGGGTTTCATCGCTGTCACACTACGAAGGCACTGTGCCTGAAACACCAAATGTCGGACAAATTTATTACAAGAACAGGAATCATCAGATACTAAGTTCACAGCGGTACCGACGACACACGCACACATCGATAGGATGCCCATACTGGCTGGTCACCCAGGACGCCTCCGTTACGAACGAGCACCTATACGCCAGGCCCAAAACTCGCTGCACATCGCTGGAAACGTAATACAGACGAGAAAAACGAGCCGCCGCTCATCACTCACACAGTCCGCCAAACACGATGAAATGGAAGGAGCGCACGTGTACCAAGGCGTGGTCACGAGAGGGGGGCGATACGGAGCCGGGCGTGCGCCGGCGCTAGCGTCGCTTCCTGGTGGGCGTGGGTCGCTCGTCGCCGGACCGCTTGCGCTTCAGGTCGTCGCGAGACGACTCGCGCGTCTCCCGTCGCTGGCTCGTCTGCTTGTCGGCCAGCAGCAGCATCTGGATCTTCTCCACGCACTCGGCCTGCATCTCGCGCGCGAACCGGTGCACCTCGTGGTCGCTGGAGTTGAACATCATGGCGTTGCAGAACATCAGCATCAGATCGCGCTGGAACTGCAGCGTCGTGTTCACCGTGCCGGCCTCCACGTTGCGCTTCATCTGCGCCAGGTCCATGGGGTGTTTCACGATCTCGCGGTAGTTGGTCGCCTGGTCGTTGGTGATGGGCCGCGCAAACATCGAGGCGTGCCGGTGGGCCGTGAACTCGCGCCACAGGATCAGGATCGACTTCTTCCAGATCCGATAGTCGCGTCGCTCTTCGGCGTCGTCGCCGCTGAGCACGGCCGACGCTGGGCTGTTGGGCACGGACTCGGCCTGCGCTGCAGCGGCACCAGCGCCAGCCGAGCCACTGCGCTGCCGCGACCCGCTCGACTCGGCCTCCCACTCGTCACGCTCCTCTTTGACGACCGGCAGCGGCGGCTCGGCTGACTTCTGCGGCGGCGCGACCTCCTGTGCGCCACCCTCAGTGCCCGGCTCCTGCTTGATGACGGGGGCCGGCTCGGACGGCACGGCCGGACCGTCTCCGCCGGCGCCGCTGGCTGCGGCCGGCTCCGGCTCCGGCTCCGGCTCGGCCGCCGGCGGCTCTGGCTCGTCGGCGGGCGGCGGTGGCGGAAGCAATGGCGGTGGTGGTGGTGGCGGCGGGGGTGGTGGAGGCGGTGGTGGCGGCGGCGGCGGGCAGGCGGCCGCCTCGACCTCTTCCGCCTGCGTGGCCTGCTCAGCCGGCGCCTCCGGAGCGGCAGCAGGCAACTCCTGCGCCGGCTCCGCGTGCACGTCGGCCACCGCGTCACCCTGCTCAGCCGACTCAGGCGGCGCCGGCTCGGACTCCACCTCCATCTCAGCGGCCACAGCTGGCTGCGAGGCCTCTGGCGGCGGCAGTGGTGGCGGCGGCGGTGGCGGCAGCCGCGGAGATGGCGGGTCGACCACCTTCTCTGCGGCCGGTTTCTCCGCCGCGGTCGCTTCGCCGTCGCGGGCCGCCTGGTCGGGGAACAGGTTGAGCCGTGGCAGCGGATAGCCCGGCGCGGCCGGCGGCAGCTCCAGCAGCCGTGAGAGCGTGGGCGAGCCGGCGGAGGACGCTGGCGGGCCCGGCTCGGCTGTCGCCGCTGCCGCCGCAGTCGCCGGTCGCGCGCCACCCGAGGGCGAGCGGAGCAGCGAGGTGAGCAGCGGGGAAGAGGGCGCCGGTCGTGAGTCGGCGCCCTCCCTGCTCGCCTCGTCGCCGCTGGCCTCGGCCGCCACCGCGTCCGAGGTGGCGCTGTCTTCTGCGAACTCGGGCTCGGACGCCGAGCCGGCCTCGGAGAGGCTGCTATCGCGCCGCTCTGGCGTCAGCTTGCGCCGCTTCGGCGGGGGCGCCTTGGTCACCTGCGCTCGCAGCGCTTGCTGCACGGCCACCTTCTGCGCCTCGCGCTCGGCCAACCGCTGGCGGCGGCGCTCCTCCTCCAGTGCAGCCGCCTCCTTCTCGGCCTGGATCTGGCGCTGGATGTCGTCCAGCTGTGAGTCCAGCTGGCCAGAGCGCAGCTGGCTGATCTGCTGCTTGAGCGCCAGGTAGGCGGCCCGTTTCTCGGCAACCAGGCGGCGCAGTTCTTCGGTCCGGTCCTGGCGCAGCCGCCGCACGATGTGCTCCCCCGGCGTCTCGTTCGGCTCGCCACGCTCGCGCTTCCGCTTGGGCGCGTCCACCAGCTCGAGGAGGCGCGCGTACTGCTGCGCGCAGTTCTTCTGCGAGAGCCAGTCGGATGGACGGCCGGCGTCGGCGAAGCCACGCATGGCGCGGCTCACCGACACCCAGTTCTGGTCGCCGCTGCGCAGCACAGCAGACGCCAGCGCCAGGTGCTCGCGCGTCGACCACGTGTCGAGCGGGGTCTGCTTCAGGGCCAGGCGGGACGGCGTGCCGGCAGCCATGGCGGTGCAGTGGTGATTGGCTGGAACAGAGACACATGCCACTCTCTGGTGTGGCCTACTGCCAGATAACTGACCAGTTGAAGGCAGGGTGCATGTGGAGATGTAGTCCAAATAGGACACTAGACTGTAATGCACTCTTGTCACTATTGATATTTATTTTTGTGCTGTTGTTGTTGATTGGAGTTTTGGGGTGTGCCGACTACTGTGATCATTTTGCACCCATTCATTTTTGTGTGTCACTGCTTGTACACTGTTTGGTAAGTGATCACCACAAAAACTAAGTGGATGAGGAGTTTTACACCAGTGCATGACTAGGCAAAACAAGCGTTTGCTGTAGTACATATTCCAAAGTTCCAAATTTCCTGGCTGTAGGGTATGAGGGCTTATGGAAACAGATAGAAGATTCACAAATCAAAGTTCTGAGCTTTATGAAAGTGTTAATATGGGTATACTAGCCAGCTTGGTAAAAACATCAGCAGAATTTTTAAATTTACTGATGCACTGATGATGACTTGCAATGACACCTTAATGATGCATAACTTCATAACAGGCCTGTCAATCCTGGCTTATTGCCATTTGTCCATTCTGTCAGACCAATGAGTACAGCTGAAGCTCCCTGTCATAATATTCACACTAACCAATACAAATGAATGTATTTCAATCAATGAGTCCATCAAGCTCTTGCCTTGTTGATTTATTAATAATGCTTTCATCCTAAATATGTAGATATTAAGTTGCATGATTTATCATACATAAATCATGTGATGCATATTAGTAAAAAAAGCATCAGCAAGACTTGTCATGTCCCTATTTGTTAAATTTTTGCCATCATAAAGAAATAAAAGGCTTTTACCCATGCCAAATTTATGATTGTAAATTTTCATCTGTTTCCATTAAGGCAATACTTTTCTGGAACAAAACTAGATATGTACCTTATGTTGGGTTTTGGATCTACAGGTTTCCACATCATTGTTTATCACTGACATCTTAACATGAGGTTGCAGATGGTGTGTGTGTGGCAATGTACAAGATGTGTATGCCAAGGGTCTCTACTTAATGTTTACCATTAATTCTTCAATGTGAGATTAATAATTTTAAGCTGCAAATACAAGAACCAAAACATAGCATTATCAACATAGCCAATACTGACATTCTGACATACCAACTTTGCCTTGTAACATCTATTTCTTGGAAAACTAATATTATGGTGATATAACACACAAATCTAACAGGCTGCTGGAAGAGCACACCAAAAATTTCAGTGACGTTGTACATGACTCCGAGACGGTGGGATTGGGGGGTTAGGGGGCACACCAAATCGCACAACCTCTCGAAATTCTTGCATCACACCCATAATGTTGCAACCTGCAAGGAAATAAGCGCCTTCCAAAGCAGCGGGCAAGTTGCGCTGCAATACTAAACAAGCTATTACAATGAGCAAAAGAGATAATGCAAATTACCTTCGACAGCTATCGAAGGTTGATTGGTCAACTCGATTTTTGTAACGAGTTATTGCCACGGCTTTCCAAGATACTTAACGACTGCACCACCAACACACGCGCATCCGCGCGTCTGCGCGCTATTCCAATATGAGACGATACTAGCGCAGATGGTGCGGCTGAAGACGAGCTACCAGAATTTGGACTCACGATTCAATCCGGACTGACTGAAGCGGGAATTTGATTTGGAGCTCTCGCGTTAGCGAGTACGTTAGGTGGGGTGGGGTTACTTGTCTCTAATTTTGGGGGAAATGCAATGTGGGATAGATAAGGAGGAAATTCAAATGCCAAGGGTAGCGTCAGTTGTTCAGTGCATTAGCGGGAACTACTTACCGCCACTACTTATAGGTAGATGTATACAGGCGAAAGCACATCCTCCAACGTCACATCAAAATAAAACGTAATGTTTTCTTTGCTTATTAGTATGGCTAATGCTGAAATGACTAAGCTTGTTTCCTTTGCATACCGCGCCTCGTTCTTGGCTTGCATTTGGAACAAATGGTTCTCTTATCCAAGCTCAGTCCTTCGGTAGCAGGCAAGCAGGCGAGAACACTCGTAACTCATTAACACAGGTATGCAAAGCATTGGACGCTTGAGCAACAACTTCTGATTCATCACGAGGACGCGTGGGACATCTCGTCTGATTCTGGTTGCGTTGCTCCTCACTACCAGTTGGCGTTCTTTTTTTATTACTTTTTTTCGCCAAGCCGCGGTCATAACATTGGGTACCTTGCGCCTGGTGCCGCTGCTCAGTGCGGTGTGTCAGCAACACCGACAGTCAGGCAGTCACGGTGTGGTGCCGTTGCCCAGTGCGGTGTGTCAGTGACACCGACAGTCAGACAGTCACGGTGTGGTGCCGCTGCCCAGTGCGGTGTGTCAGCGACACCGACAGTCAGACAGTCACGGTATGGTGCCGTTGCCCAGTGCGGTGTGTCAGCGACACCGACAGTCAGACAGTCACGGTATGGTGCCGCTGCCCAGTGCGGTGTGTCAGCGACACCGTCAGTCAGGCAGTCACGGTGTGGTGCTGCCGCCCAGTGCGGTCTGTCAGCGACACCGGCAATCGGACAGTCACGGTGTGGTGCCGCTGCCCCGTGCGGTGTGTCAGTGACACCGACAGTCAGACAGTCACGGTGTGGTGCCGCTGCCCCATGCGGTGTCAGCGACACCGACAGTCAGACAGTCACGGTGGCTCTCTGACCGACAGTCGGACAGCCACGGTGGCCCTCTGACCGACAGTCAGACAGTCACGGTGGCTCTCTGACTGGCAGTCAGACAGTCACGATGGCCCTCTGACCATGGCGTTGCGGCGCCACGAGCCGAGCAAAAATGGCAACATTTGAGCCAGAGTTCGGCCACTGGGGGCTTCCGCATATTGGGAATATTGGTGTGTCTACATAGAATGTGCAGTATTACTAGTTTGCACAAAGCTTTAAGCAGTTGTAAAATTGGTAATATTGATCGGCAGAACAGTTAAGAATTGAAAGTAGATGCAGTTATTTAGGAAATGCTGCAAAACTTCTCAATTCTGTATTGCATTTGATTGCCTTTAACGTGCATCACCTGTGACGGTTGACAGCAGCTGCGCTGAAGGTCAGGTGACGTCAGAGGGCAGGACCGACCATGCCGAACAGCACTGCACGTTAGACTTACGCCACCAAATGCTGCCGTTGACATGGTTTTGCTCTATCAGACGGTAGGAGTGAGGGTTCACACAACAGCCAGTGCTTATCGTGAGATGTGATCCCAGATTTTCATTCATTTAAAAGGTTCTAATTAACTCTAAAACGACGCCATAGAGCCCACATTCAAACACTCCGACCAGTTTCAAAAGAAAACTGGGGAGCGTGGCCTTGGACGGGTGCAAAAGGCCATCCGTAAAATGGCTCGAAAAAGATGGTGGACAACAAATGATGGATGGTGTACAGATGTTGAACAGCAGTTGAGTGTGGCGTAAAGCACCAAACACACCCAAATAGCTTTACCGTTAGCATGAATATGAATGACACGATTTCCCTGGTTTGTAAGCTCTGTTTGCAAGTGTGACACAATGCAATCCCAAATTATTGATTAGGGTGATAAAATAAGCATTTAAATATGAAATTGTATCAAGCTCAAAATTCGCTCTGCTTCTGGGCATGATGGAGTTAACTAAAAACAACGGCATTTCGAGAGCTGTTGTACTAAAGGGTTACCTTAAGGTTTTAGACTGAGTAAGTTTATATTTCTCAATTCGTGTTCATGTCGCATCGACTTTGGACACTACCTTACATCCTGATTTTATGAAATCATTATGATTGTGATAACTTAGTGAAGAGATGCCCGTTGCACTAACCGTCGTTTGCACTGTGGCTAGAGGCTTTAGCAAAGCCAGTAAGAAGTCTGACGTTAATGAAAGGCATTCAAGTTGGGGACGGCGAGGTCGAAGTATTTCTTCGTGGAGGCCTCGGCACCAACACATACTCAGGGGAAGAGCCGCAGTTATTGTCAGAAACTTTGAAATTGTCCGGGCTCTTTTACAAAGTTTCCGGTTTACGGCCAAGTCTAAAACAGACTGATGATGCATGGGCTATGTTTTAAACTAGCTTTGTGTTATTTCATGTGTCCTGAGTATGGATTGCAGTGGCTCAAAGCTTCAACTCGATTGTGGGCACCAAGCCGCTAGTAAGCAGCTGAGATGATTAGAAACACAGTTATCCAGCTAAGACAAAAGGAATCTAATACAGCATATCGCGACGGCCGACACGAAACTTTTTTTGCGTCAGGGATGTTGCTGGTGGGTAAGGCGTTAACATTATGCCGATCAGTGTATCTATTTACTTTCTGCCCATTTCTTAAGTCGCTCGTTGAAGAGAACGGAATAAATAGTTTCCAGGTTCGTCCAAGACGGGAAGCAGCATAGAGCGAAGGGCATGGCATACAAGAGCGAGGTAAGAAACGGCGCTCTCAGAGCCCCAGACCCAGATTTATTGGCTGAAAGCTTAGAAGCAGCTTGTTTCAAAAGGCTTTTCTGCTGCTATGGTTTGAATTCGAAATTGTCGATTAAAAAGCATGACTAGGGGTAGACACCAACCGTGCGCACTGTCGGCTTAATACTATTGTACTAACCTTGCTATGGAATGATGCTTGCTGGAAGAAGAGTCTAAACGCGTGGCTCTTTCGATTATCAAACTGGTCTGGGGGCGACATTTGAGCAAATCAGATGTTGGTCCTCGCCGTTTGGGGACACCCCTTCCTCCCCGTGGCGATACCCACACGCGTGTTAGAAACTGCGCATCGGACGAGAGATTTAACACATCTTGGGACGTCGAACCATTCGCCGATGAAAGGAACTAAATTATGCATCAAATTAGCATCCAGCGTCGGTGGAATTTTGAGCTGCGCCTCTTGATGCCTACCACCAGGTGGCGCCGCCGCTTTGTCCGCCGCCTCACGACATCAGGTGCACACACAACCCCCAACTTTGTTCGCCCCAAATCGTATGCGATCGGAACTTTTCAGTAAACAATACAACACATTTTTTACTAATCCTAATTATAATATAAATAACGGCGGCGGCGGAGCGTTTTCGGAGCCGGGCTGGCAGTGGAGGGGACGGCACGTTCCCACGCGTGAATGGCGCCGCCACAAAGGAGGCGGCCGGCGCGGCCCGGCTCTGTGGGGCGCCGCGAATAAAGAGCAGCAGCTCGCGGCAGGTAGGGCGCCCACCTGCCGGGGGCGGCGCACCAGTGCCATGCCGCAGTCCGGCCCGTGTGCAGACCAATTACGTCGGCAGCATCCAGCCCGCGGCAGGCTCGCGGCGGGCCCCGGCAGAGCGGCGGCCGCTCCCCCGCACGAGCTCCACACACAGCGACCACCTCCGGCCCGGCGCGTCATGCTCGGTCTCGACGGCGGCGGCGGCGCCAGGAACGTCGCCTACTGCAGCTCCACCTTCTGGCCCAGAGCCGGCTACCCATGGTAAGTGCTGCGGCGGGTGCGCACGGCGCGGAGGGGCCACCGTTCGGGCCTGTTGGACGGGTCGTCGGGGACTGGGAGAGGGGCGTGCGCAGGGGTTAAACGGCTGGCGTCGTCGTGCAATGCTCTGAGCGTCGTCGCAGCCCGCTCTCCCAGTGTTCTTCTGGGGCTTCGACCACTGCTACCTCGATGCCGTTCTTCAGCGGTCATCTGATTCGTCATTGTGCCCCGTCCAGAAAGTCAGCAGGCAAAAGAGGTTGTCGTCCTCTGCCCAGAGGATCAACAGAGCTCGCTGTTGTGCCATGTCCAGAGGGTCAGCGGTGGAAAGCTATCCTACGATATCCAGAGGGCTAAAACAGGCCCCGGGGCGTCGTGCCATGCCCGGGGAGCTGGTCGCCACAATCCATGCTACTGCGTCGGAGGAGAGGGGGAGGTGGCAGCATGCATTCATGGGCAGAAATAGCCGTTTTTTTAGCCATACGCAATAGACTGCTGCCTATCGTAGCTCATCGTCACTTAATTGAAAACATTACGTTCAGCGTTGTGGTAACATATTCAGACATACAACGCCCACAAACACGCAAGTAAGCCGGCGCGGGCCTGGGCCATTGGTCTGTGGCCACTTGGCATCGCTCTCGGTAGGTGGCGCCTCGGGCGCCTCGGCGACTGGGAACCGCATGTCGGCCAGGATCTCCGCTGTACTGGGCGGCTGGGCGACCCCAAAAGCGTCTCTTACCACCTCGGTGCGCCACCCGGTGGTGTACAAGTTGCTGTCCTGTCTTGTGCGCTGCTTATGTCGCTCAGACATCAAGGAAAAACTCCCTGGTGAAAGAAACAGGCTCATCAGAGAGGCGCACTGTGTGAAGAACGTCTGTAGTGAGTTATCGGACACTAATTTTTCTGAGGAGAGCCATCTGAGACTCTGTCAAGATAGTTGAAATGAGTGAATAGCTTGCGCACTCCGGATATTCTTTGGTGCATAATCACAACTTCATATTTATTTTCCTAATTTCCTCATTTCATGTTCATTCCATCGCAGGATCAGAAGTTTTTATTTCTTCTTTGCTATGGTCAGCAGAAACAATCACCGCAATTGTCATTGGG